CTGGATAGATAGATAGATAGGCTTTTTTTCATTGGTAGTGTCATTAGTTTTTTCTGGACATTTCTATTCTCTTTTGCTACATTGCCTTCACACCCAGTGACTTTCTATACACTTACTACATTCTGCCGCTCTACATGAGCACACTGCCCTCCTGTAGGTAGTCAGTTCAGGTGATTGCAGTCGGTTCTGTCATGTTATTGGTGTCTAAACTCAGGCAACATCAGGCGTACTGCAAATGCAATCCCAAAAATACTGCACTATTCAAGGTTACCTGTACCATCGGTTATTAATGTAGCACTACCCCCTTAGGATTTGCTGAAGTTTTGGGTCCCCCTATAGTCCTGCACTGCCAGGCAATACGCATTTCCTTCACACAGACTTGCATCCAGGAGGCAGTAACTAGTCCTTAAGATTGTTTTTTAGGTTATATTAGGGGATTGTAACTTGAATGGGGAAAAGAGGTATATAGGATGCTCAAGGTTTTAGCAACTGAGGACAATGTCTTGGACTATGTACAAGTCTCTAACATCGGAATTCTGTTGTTGGAGAGTTAGCCAGAATCTCCTGTACACCACCCCAGACCCCAGCTATTCCTTTATCCATTTGTACTGGGTGAATCCCTGGGCAGAGGATCCAGTGCCTGTCACTCCAAAGGCTAGACAGTCCTGGGCTAAAAGCTAATCCAGTTTCCCACTAGTGTGCTTGTGACAAAAATGTACAGAATTGAGTAGCTGAGATGTGATCAGTAGCAATATGTACTTGTAAATTTTGTTTCATTCCTTGATATTAAAGATGTATTCAATCATAGGTATTCAGAGACATGTGCTCATCCATTAGCATCTGAAAAGAGACAGAGCTTCCTCAGGCTGGAAGTGACACCTGGGTGCCAATAGGATTTCTTACCTATATATAATCAGACTTTGCCACCTTCTTGAAGCTTGAAAGAGGGACGCTAGACATTTCGGCTGCAGGAGACCAGGAGGGCTCTGATCTGTCTGGGAGCTACAAATTATATCAGTAGATCAAAGGAATATGTTTCATCTCTCATAAAAGCTAAAATATTAGTTGCAGAGAGATGAAAATACTTCCTTCTGATTGGACACTCTGTAGGCTACATCTGCATGTAAAACTGTATTTGTGGCCTATGTGGGGTCCCAGAGAAAGGCAGAAAATGGTTATATTGTGCCTGATGGTGACAGCTGAACAGTGATTGGTACTGTCGCGATCGGACTGATGCGCTGGTGTCGGAAATTCAATCCCTGACTTGGTGATTCAAACCGTTCCTGGTCCAATCGAATTTGGGCATTTCAGGACCCAGAGTGTCCTGTGGGCTGGTACAGGAACACCCCCCAGAGTCAACTGCCAAGGACTAATGTCCAGCCTACGACCATATTACCATAAATTGAGGACCTGGGATATGGACGTCATAATTCGCATGGAGTCGGTTCTATTGACTGACGGATTGCGGACTTTCTCTGACTTCCTCCAGTCACAGGATAAATCTTGGTAAAAGTTTTATTTCTGTTTTTTATTCCCTTTTATTTTATAGCGAATAGTCAATTGTGTGTCTTCTTGTATTTTCTGTAACTTTTTCTTTGTACATATTTTATGCACTGCCCACTTTCGGAATATTAAAATCATAAAATTAATCAGTGACTTCTGGGTACTTAAGCTCGGGCTCATATCTCTGGAGAGATCAGATTGTATTGTATTTTAGTGTCTTTATATGCTCGGTCTTTGTATGCAATTGCACTGCGTGTTGGCAGATTGCATGCAGATTGTAAGGGTGACAGGTCTGCCAGACGGAGATCTGTGTGTGTGTGGTGTCCCAGCAGACCGTTCTGCGATAAACTGTTGGGTGGTGGCAAGCTACCGTTTGTGGTGTGTCTGGTGTGGGGGTGTATGGACAGTGGAAGAGTGATTAACACCGGGGTTCTAGCTTGTAGGACAGCTGGAGGAATCCTAGAAGGGTGTGTCAATTGCTAGGCTGCTCCTCAACCCTAATTAGTGCACCAGATTGTATGTAAGATTTGGGTCTACCTGTGTGTGTGGTCAGCCAGCTAGATTGGAGTGGAGTCTCCCTCTAGTGGTGTCCAGAGGTAGCACGGGCTGTGAAAGTATATCACGGACGATCTTATATATATATTCAAGTTAAGTCCCCCTTATTCCCTCTTATCCCAAGTCACGGCCGCACATGCGCGCCTCGGTTAGCTAGTGGGCTGTGTGTGCATGTGGGTTGGATCCGTGACAGTGCTCCTTCCCCTTACTGGCCCAGGGGGTGCAGGTCTACTTTTCAGTCCTCAGTCTGTGGGCTGATTGGTCGGTGGCTGCTCTCAGGCCTTCTAGCTGGGCCACTCCTTTCCAACTACACAGGTGGTCCTCTCTGGGGGCCGGTGAGGTCCCAAGCTTTTCTCTTCTTCTAAGCTTGCCTGTCAATGAGCCCCTTCCCATCTGGGCTCCCTCCCAAGCTTCTGCTCTCCAGCCTCACTTCTCCATCTTCCACCCAAACTCTCCATGCTACTGAGCAGGCTCAAACATTCTTAAGAGCTGTCCTGGCCCCTTGCCAAGCCTCCTGTAGGGGATTAGCCAGGATCCCTTGAGAGTGCAGACCAGCCACCTCGTACTCCCACCCCCTGCTTCTAGAACTTTCTCCAAAATTCTAGAACAGAGGGAAGTCACAGACAGCTAGTCTGCAGAGCCTGTCAGCCCTAACTGAAATTTGACCCCTTCTGATTATTAGGCCCCATGTACACAGGACACTTCTGAACGATGGAAACTGACTGCTGGAAAACGTAGGTTAAAAAACGTCTGTTTAGCTGTGTTTATGAGCGTTTGCGTTTAGAAGCAGTTTTTAAAGATAATCTCAAGAGACCTTCCAAAATGCCCAGAATGCACTGAAAAACAGTAAAAAAATTAACTGTTTCAGACATTTTGAGAGAAATAGAGAGAACAGAAGCAGAGAGAGCAGTATTTGTTGAGATTAGCTGTCTTTTTTTTTTTTTTTTTTTGGTGGTGTTTGGATGTGTTCCAGCTCATTTCTGTGCAGAAATGATTGCAGCAGTGTCTAACATATTTTCTTTCATGCAAAACCTCAAAGTATGGTGTGCTATGTACATTTGGGTACCGGGAAACGCTTTACATGCATTTTTCATGATGAAAAAAGGCTCTGGACAGCATCTGGAAATGGAAGAGTTAAAAAATTGTTTCAAACGCTTATAAATGCGGTTAGCTGCATTTAGCGTTTGAAACGCTTATAAAATCTACTCCTGAATGCAAGTTTGGTGCGTTCAAAAAAACAACTGTAAACTCAACTGCCTGTAAACGAAGATGTGTACATGGACACATAGGAAAACATTAGGGAGAGTTCAGCAGCTGCTGAAAAAAAAAACACTGAACAGCTCCTAAACGTGAGTTTATCAGCTGCAGTGTACATGAGCCCTTACACCTGGGCTGCTACTCAGTCCCTATCTAAAAATAACCTCTAGCTCCCCCTAGCTATCTAGGAGGGTACTACATTAATGTATGACTTTCAGTAAAATCTGTCACAGGAACCAAGTGACTTTATTCAACACAGATTCAATCTTTTACATGATTAGTTCTTTATTTCCTTCTGCATGTACAATACTCTATTAGGCCTCATTCACACGGGTGTACTAAAATACTCTGATCTACGCTGGATCTTTCTGCCAGGAGCTGCCAGCATGAAAAATGCTCATTTTGGTGTGTAATTTGTGCACATTTCAGGGATGTTTGATTCCTATCACTGGACGCCTGGGACATTTAGTTCCGGGTGCCGGACAGGTATTTTTTTTTCCTCCTTTAGCCCTGCTACAGGCAAGCAGTGGGATCACCTGTCAGGTGAAGCAATCGGCGGCGGCTGCCGCCAATTGCTTCACACAGTGTCAGCCTTTCCGCGTTCCCGGCATGAGGTTTCTCGGGCTCCGCTTACCTATCTGCGGGCCCGGCTTGCCGTCAGCTAGAGGGGAAGGAAGAAGAGCGGACAAGTCCGCTCCCCTCCCCTTCTTGTGCTGACCGGGAAGTGACGTTACAATGTCACTTCCAGGTCCCCGATGGGAGATTGCAATACAATCCCTGGGAAAGAATGTAATATGGTGTGATGTGCACCACATTACATTCAATGGAGCAGAGGGGAGACATGCAGGGTTGTTTAGACCGTGGATGTCTCAAAGAGAACCTGTTCACCAAAAAACATCACATAGGGGACTTTGTCCCCTATGTGATGTGAAAAAAAAATTTTTTGTTTATTTTTATTAAAAAAATGAAAGTTACAAGGCACATACCATCCCCCCCCCAAAAAAAAAAATATTGAGGCCCCACCCCCACATATATGCACGTACAAACGTAAAAGCACATACTGGGGCACCTACACATGAAACCACTGATTGCGATACTCATGTCACATATTGCCACACACACCAGGATGAGAGCAATAATTCTAGCACCAGACCTCCTCTGTTTACTATACTGGTGACCTATAAGGAGCCTTAAAAGTGTTGACCTATAGAAAATATAGGGTACTGAAGTTCGTCACCATTTCACGAGCGTGCACAAATTTAAGGTTTGACAAGTTGGATATCTACTTACTCACTGCAACCTCATCTTTTATATTTAAAAAAAAAGGGTAATTAATTGCTTGTTTTGTGCCCTAAAATTAACTTGCTTGTATTTTTTACTAAATTTCTGTGGTAAAATCATGCGACATAAAAAATTGAAACTACCACTATTTTATTCTCTAGGGCAGTGATAGCGAACCTTTTTGAGCCCGAGTGCCCAAACTGCAACCCAAAACCAACTTATTTCTTTCAAAGTGCCGACACTGCAATGAAACCTGAATATCGAGCTTTTGGTTTAGAAAAAACAACTCGTACAGTAGTGCAAAAACTAATTAACAGTACAGGGATGACCAGAGACTGCGGACAGTACAGGGATGACCAGAGACTGCGGACACAGTACAGGGATGACACAAAGTACAGGGAGAGACTGCGGACAGTACAGGGATGACCAGAGACTGCGGACACAGTACAGGGATGACCAGAGACTGCAGACACAGTACAGGGATGACCAGAGACTGCGGACACAGTACAGGGATGACCAGAGACTGCGGACACAGTACCAGGGATGACCAGTACAGGGACTGCGGACAGTACAGGGATGAGAGACTGCAGAGACTGACTGCGGACACAGTACAGGGATGACCAGAGACTGCGGACAGACAGGGGATGACCAGAGACTGCACACAGTACAGGGATGACCAGAGACTGCGGACACAGTACAGGGATGACCAGAGACTGCGGACACAGTACAGGGATGACCAGAGACTGCGGACACAGTACAGGGATGACCAGAGACTGCGGACACAGTACAGGGATGACCAGAGACTGCGGACAGTAAAGCACACTGCGGACAGTACAGGGATGACCAGAGACTGCGAAAGACAGATGACCAGAGACTGCAGTACAGATGACTGCTGACCTTTGGGGGGGGGGGGGGAGCGGGTACCTGAATTTGACAGGTACCCGCTCTTACGTCCGCAGAGTTTTTTTTTTATCTTACCTGTTCCTTTATCCAGCCGCGCTGTCTTCCCGGATTTTGTAGTGTGGGCGCTCGTCGGACAGCCGGATGCCCAGTGCGCATGCGCGGGAAGTGCTGCGCTTTGTGATTGGTCCGGCGGCTTCTGGGATCTGTCATGTGTCCCAGGTACCGCCTTACCATTCACAAAGAGCACTGCTTCTTGCGCATGCGCACTTGGGACCCGGCTGTCACGCACACTACAGAAGCCGGGAAGACAGCGCGCCGCTGGATAGAGGGACAGGTACGGTCCTACTGCAGAGCTGAGCGGCCGGCCCGGTATTCTGACACGGCGGTGGTGGAAATACCGGACCGGCCGCTCTATATTCGTTCCATAAGACGCACTGACATTTTCCCCCCTTTTTTGGGGGAAAAAAAGTGCGTCTTATGGAGCGAAAAATACGGTATTCTCCTGGCGTGCCCACAGATAAGGCTCGGCGTGCCGGCTGTGGCACGCGTGCCACGGGTTCGCCATCACTGCTCTAGGGTCTCTGCTTTCAGAAAATATATAATATTTGGGGGTTTTATGCAAGCTTCAGGCCTAAAATGATTTTTTTAAACGTGTGCAAAAAACGCAAACATGGCTCTGGCAGCGAAAACGCAAAAATTACTCTGGCAGTGAAAGAGATAAAGTATGAGCCCTGACTCCCCCTACCCTCCTGACGAGCAGCCAATTGGTGCTCATTACACTGCAAGGTGTCTCCCCTCTATGCTAATCGCAGGCGCTGTGCTGGTGACAGCTGAGGGGAGGAGGAGGAGATAAACAGCGCAATGTTAATATTACACATTTAAATCGCAATGAAGCCCCTTTTGCTTTTAAAAGCCTAAAATCACCTCCAATTTAAATACAGTTTTGGTTAAAAAAGAGATTTTTTTTTATAAGGACGAGTAGATTGTCATGAGGGACAAGTAGATTTGGGCCCAGATTTAGTCCCTGGACAAGTAGTTTTTTAAAAAATGTCCACACCCGTGACATTTACAGTCATATGAGGTTTAGAAGTATATTGACCTAAACTCATTCTATCTGCGTTTTTCTGCCCGTGTACATGAGGCCGTACGGTGCTAATAGATATCAGATACTTTTATCAAACAACTATAATAAACGGCTTCATATGTGAGGCTCAGTATTGTACAAATTGTATCTCATGTATATAAGGACAATTAGTAATTAGAGACTATTTTTAACATCTTTGATTTCAGGATACAGAATGTTTGTCCTTTATGTACAGTATTGTCCTTGTAACTTTTATACAGTTAGGTCCATATATATTTGGACACAAGCACAATTTTCATACTTTTGGCCACCTGAATAAATTAAAATGAAACAATCCAAATGAATCTGAAGTGGAGACTTTCAGCTTTAATTCAAGGGGTTGAACATAACGATCAAGTACAAATTTTAGGAACTGCAACCATTTTTATACACAGACCCTTCATTTTCAGGGGGCTCAAATGTAATTGGACAAATGAATATAATCACAAAATAAAATGTTCATTTTTAATATTTTGTTGAGAATCCTTTACTGGCAATGACTGCCTGAAGTCTGGAACCCATGGACATTACCAAAGACTGGGCTTCCTCCTTGCTGATGCTTTGTCAGGTTCTAACTGCAGCTGTCTTCACTTGTTCTTTGTTTGTGGGTCTTTCTGCCTTTAGTTTTGCATTCAGCAAGTGAAATCCATGCTCCATTTGGTTGAGATCAGGTGATTGACTCGGCCTTTGCAGAATATTCCACTTCTTTTCCTTCAAATGCTTCTGGGTTGCTTTTGCAGTGTGTTTTGGATCATTGTCCATCTGTACTGTGAAGCGCCATCCAATCAACTTTGCTGCATTTGGCTGAATCTGGGCTGACAGTATATCTGTAAACACTGCAGAATTCATCCGGCTGCTTCTGTCACATCATCAATAAACACCAATGACCCAGTGCCACAGGAAGCCATGCATGCCCATGCCATCACACTGCCTCCACCATGTTTTAAAGATGACGTTGTGTGTTTTGGATCATGAGCTGTTCTAAGCCTTCTCCGCACTTTTTTATTCCCGTCATTCTGATACAGATTAATCTTAGTTTCATCCGTCCAAAGAATGCTTTCCCAGAACTGGTCTGGCATTTTTAGATGTTATTTTGGCAAAGTCTAATCTGGCTTTTTTATTCCTCAGGCTTATGAATGGTTTGCACCTTGTGATGAACCCTCTGTATTTGCTCTCGTGAAGTCTTCTCTTGATTGTAGACTTTGACAATGATACCCCCACCTCCTGGAGAGTGTCCTTCACTTGTCTGGATGTTGTGAATGGGTTTTTCTTTACCATAGAGAGGATCCTGCGATCATCCACCACGTTGTCTTCCATGGACGTCCATGCCTTTTTATGTTGCGAGCTCACCAGTACGTTCTTCTTTCCTCAGAATGTAGCAAACTGTTGATTTGGCCACTTCTAATGTTGCTGCTATCTCTCTGATGGATTTGTTTCATTTTTGAAGCCTTACAAATGGCCTGTTTCACTTGCATGGACATCTCCTTTGAACGCATGATGTAGGTTCACAGCAATAGATTTCAAATGCAAATACCACAGTTAGAATCAACTCCAGACATTTTACCTGCTTAACTGATGAAGACATAATAATGGAGTAGCCCACACTTGGCCATGAAACAGCTTTAGATTCAATTGTCCAATTACTTTTTGTCCCTTGAAAACTGGGAATGGCTACTCTTAAGAGCTGCAATTGCTAAACCCTATATTAGTGTATAAAGTCCCAAAATTCTATAAAAGTCCCAAAATAAGAGTCCAAAAATCAAAGTCCAAATAAATCCCAAAGAGAATATATCTTAGTCAGTACTTTCTCAAATCTTCGTGTCTCCAAACCGCCTTTTTGGTATACTCCAAAAACAAATCTTCATATACCTCAAAGAAAAAAACTCAACATAGTGCTTTATCCAAATAATATAAAAAATATAATAAAAGTGCCACACGTGTTACATGCAAAAACACTACCGTGCCACAGCAACCGTGAGATCAGATACCTCTACCTTAAATGTTAATCCACTGCACACAGATAACAGAAGTGAATAATTACCCTCAAGGTAGTAACACAAGCATAGATGAGATTATTTCCAACCTTTTTCCTTCAGCCTTTCCAGCCACTTCCCACAGACCTCATAAACAGACCAGGGATCAGTGTATATAATAAATAATCACAGTACTTTATTATAGCAACTTACATTAAAATAAGAAGAGATCAGCTTCCACACACAAAGCAATTGATTCCACAATCGAACCTCTCCTCAGTGGTGTTGAAATATCCTCACCATACCACTTCAGAGAAGGGATAGGTAATTGGTGATAGGTTCCCCACTAACCATACACCTGTATGGAGGATTCCAGGGCATACACAGCCGCGTGTTCCAGGAACAAAAATGGCCACCACAGCACTTCCGGAAGAGCGTCAGAACGTCACCACGTCCCGTGTCCCTTTTTTATATATTGTCTGAAAGCTTGATTGAAATAGGGTATATAGTAACGTTATGTACTCTAATATAGGGATTTAGGTTTTTTAGTATATTTTATAAAATATGTGTATGTATATTTGGCTGATATTGACTTATCATGCTATTATTTTATGTTTTCTACGATAGGGGGTGGAGTAGGAGTATGGAGGATAAGTCTGATCTCCATCCCTTTTGTGAATGTTAGGGATTTTTCATAATATCTGATGCATGGGGTTACCCTCTGGGAGAAATGGCCAGTACTGAAATATATAGGATTTTGGGGGATGATTTTTTAATTAAATATGTATTGGTATAATTTGAGTGCACAAGGTGGCCAGTATGGGATTGATTTTCCCTGTGTTCTGCTGGTCCAGGTGCAGCTTGTATGTATGGGTAGGGATGTCCGGGCTTCCAGGTTGTAAAATGCCCGTGGCTGTATCCTCACCTCCTTGGTTAGTGGTATTTAAGGAAAGTGAGAAGACACGTCCGTATCCCTGTTGATAAAGTCCGGATGTGACGAAACGCGTCCGAGGCACGTGACGTGGTGACGTTCTGACGCTCTTCCGGAAGTGCTGTGGCGGCCATTTCTGTTCCTGGAACACGCGGCTGTGTATGCCCTGGAATCCTCCATACAGGTGTATGGTTAGTGGGGAACCTATCACCAATTACCTATCCCTTCTCTGAAGTGGTATGGTGAGGATATTTCAACACCACTGAAGAGAGGTTCGATTGTGGAATCAATTGCTTTGTGTGTGGAAGCTGATCTCTTCTTATTTTAATGTAAGTTGCTATAATAAGGTACTGTGATTATTTATTATATACACTGATCCCTGGTCTGTTTATGAGGTCTGTGGGAAGTGGCTGGAAAGGCTGAAGGAAAAAGGTTGGAAATAATCTCATCTATGCTTGTGTTACTACCTTGAGGGTAATTATGCACTTCTGTTATCTGTGTGCAGTGGATTAACATTTAAGGTAGAGGTATCTGATCTCACGGTTGCTGTGGCACGGTAGTGTTTTGCATGTAACACGTGTGGCACTTTTATTATATTTTTTATATTATTTGGATAAAGCACTATGTTGAGTTTTTTTCTTTGAGGTATATGAAGATTTGTTTTTGGAGTATACCAAAAAGGCGGTTTGGAGACACGAAGATTTGAGAAAGTACTGACTAAGATATATTTCTCTTTGGGATTTATTTGGACTTTGATTTTTGGACTCTTATTTTGGGACTTTTATAGAGTTTTGGGACTTATTTTGGGACTTTATACACTAATATTGAGTTTTTTGTAACCAAGTGTGCTTAAAGATTGATTGATTTATGTATGTACTTCAGGGGAAGGACGGTTAAAGTGACTTGGTGGGGTATTATAATTAAAGTAGGATAGTGCTGGATATCTAAAATTGCTAAACCCTGCCTCCAATTT